TCTTTATTTGTGGTTTTTGTCAATCTGGCTATGATGTGCCTTGTAGAAAATCTTCTTGGGTTAATTCTGTTTGGGTTCCTTTGTATTTCTTGGGTCTGCATATTTGTTTTTTTTTTTTTAATAGCTTTTTTTAAGAAGTATTTTATTTAACTTTTATTTATTATTATCATTATTTTTTTCCAGTTTGATCAGAGAGAGAGAAAGTGAGAAAGCAAGCCATCAGTTTCGAGACTTGAACCGTGGTCAGCCATGTGGGAGTCCAGCACCTTTAACCACCATGCCACTTGCTGGCCTCAAGGGTCTGCATATTTGAATGCCTCTCTAGGTTTGTAAAATTTTCTTCCTGGACTTCATGGAATAGATTACCAAATTCTTATTCTTATCACCTTCTGGGATACTGATTATACAGATGTTTGGATGTGTAATGGTATCTAATATTACTTGTATATTATTCTGATTTTGGGGGGTTGTTTTCTAAGTCTTTGTGGTGCATTTTTCTAGGCCAGAGATTCTTTTTCTACACCTGAGATTCGATCTTCTGCATGAGCAAATCTGTCTTCGATACTTTCAACGGAGGTTTTGATTTCCTGTATTACAGCTTTCATCTCTAAGAGTTCCATTTGATTTTTTTTTATGGTGAGTATTTCCTCTTTCAGATGGGGAACTCCTTACCTCCTGAAACTCACTGTCTCTTTTCTGCATCTTCTGGAGTTATTTCTTTTCTCTTGAATCTCTGTTAGCTTTGTCACTATAAATATTCTAAATTCTATATCAGACATTTCCATGATTTCCATTGTACTGTGTGCAGAGGATGAGGAGTTATTTCTTTCCATTGGGGGAGAGATATTTTCTTGGTTTCTCACATTTCTTGTGCCTCTGTGGTGGTTTCTGTTAATCTGATGGAATTTACGTTTCTTCCTAATTTCCTGAAATTCAATCTGAGTGTTCAGAAGTGTGCATGCAGAAAGAGGGTATCTGCAATCTCTCTGCAGTTGTTTTCTCCATTTATGTAGCAGGTTCACTGGAAATTGAAGATTATTCTGACCCACAGTATTGAGATGTTTGACTACTATGTAACTAGACCTGTTTAGATACTCAAGTGTGTGGAGGCTGAGCAGCAATGTGATAAAAGGAGAAAAGGAAAAGGGAAAGAAAGAAAGAAAAATATAACTAATGAAAAATAATTTTTTAAAAATAAAAAAAAAACAAAGAAAAAATCATTCATTGTGCAAGGGCACCACATGAAACAGATTGGTCACAGTGCAAATGGAGATGTCTTCTCAGAGGGCCTGCACTTTGCCTCTCCTGAATGGGAGCAGGGAAAGGTGAGAATTAGTGGGAAAGGTGAGAATTAACAAGAGAAAGGAGAAACCAAAGGCCAAGAAGTGCTTTGCATTAAACAGAAAAAAATATTAGTTAAAAAAAAAAAAAAGATTAAAGAGACAGAAGAATACAGAAGATGCCCTACCTATTCTATATTGGGGTCTGGAGGGCGAAGTCTAAGGAGAAAATCTTCAGTAGTCCTGGGGCCTGAAACAGAGTGGTCACAGCTCAAATGCAGATGTCTTCTCCATTTTCGTTCTTTTAATATCCTTTACTGCTTTCTTTTTGTATGACATGCAGTAATTTTTAATGTAGCTTTAAATTATTTTAATGAGTCCTCATTGTTTTTAGATTATTTCCTTAGTGGTTTCTTTAGTTAACCATATATTTCTTAACTTATCCAAACTTCAAATTTTTACTAATTTAATTCTAGTGAAATATAAAAACATAAATCTGATACAGGTCTATTCCGCTTTCCCCCTTTTTTTGTCTTATCACTACCCATATCACATCTACAAATGATCAAAAGCCAACAATACACTTAAAATTTTACCTTCTATAGCCTCAGGCCCTTCAAAAAAGCTAACAGAAGGAAGGTAGGCAAGTATATATCTTAGCTTTTGCTGTATGAGGGGATATATTCACATTATTTATCACTTCTGGTTTTCCTCATTTGTTCCTGGGCATTTGAGTTACCATTGGAATCAATGTCAATATATACCCACTGTTTTACACAGTTGCTTTTTAAAACCAGTTAAGAGAATAAAAGTGAAGAAATATGCATTTATACTGTCTTGTAATAATTACATAATGACCTTTACTGGTTTTCATTGTCTTTTGAATTCTGATTTGTTCTGATCCAAGGGCTTGCTCTTTTTCCAGCTGTCTTTTTGCTCTGATTCTCACCCATAACCTAAATGTCCAACAGATTAGCCTATATTTCCATGGAATCTATCAGCAGTTCCACTGGGAGAGATTCAGGCTCTTCTGTCTGCAGCCTGCTTCTTCCTTGCCCCTGTCTGGGCAAGATCTCAGAGGTATGCATTGGTCCTAGGGCTGGGAACAATGGTTCCCATAACTTTCTGTGTGACACTGTCACTTTAGGAACTGAGTGCCTGTGAAAGCATCAAGGGGTAATGCCCTTAGGTCCTCTTGGCTAGCTTCTCCTGGCATGAAATGCCCCATGAAAGTCAGTACCAGTAGTCTCTGTGGTATTACACATAATGTAGAGTGCCCTCATCTCAAAGTTGTGACTGAATAGAAGAATGGAGCCCCTACCTCTAGGTCACACTCTCCTACAATATAACCTTGGCATCAGGAAGCTGAGTCAAGATGAGAAATACTGACATCCTCTCTCTTCTGGAGTGACAGTTCTCCTCTTGGGAGCTGGGGAAGGGACAGTGTGAGACATGTTTTTAGATTTATCTGCCAAGAGTAGTGTTGCCACCTTGGTGATCTGAGAAGGGAGAAGAAGTGAGTGGTCCTGGTTCAAAAACCATAGAGTTTTGCTATTCTTACTGTTTTAATAGATATTATTGAATAAATGTTTCTCCACTTGGTGTAATACTCATTTCCAGAGAATTTAAATCTTATCCTTTAAATAAGTGATTTTTACCAGTTTTGCTGTAGCACAAGTCTGCAGAGCTCCTTATGTTCTCATGCCAGAAATGAAACTCAAATGACAAGTTTTTGAGTGGACATATGTTTTCAATATTCTTGGACATATCTAGAAGTGGAATTGCTGAGTTATTCAGTAACTGACTCTCAATGATTTCACAAATTATCCTTTTAAGCACCGAGAACACAAACAGACTAAAAAATTTTTTTCTGAGTCAACCATGCAAATCTGTGTTTAATACAGATTGAGCAACCGTAATCTGAAAATACAAAATGCTCCAAAATCTTAAATGTTGTGAGCACTGACATAGCACAAGTGGAAAATTCCACACCTGGCCTCATATGACAAGCCACAATCAAAACATTATAATAGAAAAGTATTGTATAAAATTACCTTCAGGCTATGAACATGTAAAACATAAGTGAAAATTGTGTTTAGATTTGGGTGTCATCCTCAAGGTAACTCATTACATATACACCAATATTCTAAAATCTCCTTTCTCTCCCAAATCCAAAATCGGAAACACTTCGGGTCTCACCTATTTCAAGTAAGTAATATTCAACTTGTCTTGCCCTTTCAGCTTTCAAAGACATCAATGCAGATAGTCCATCGACACTGAGTATGTGATGCATTAAATAACTAGATGCAACTAGTAAAATTTACCTTCTAAACCTCGGTCTCCTTCATGATAAAATACTATCACCAAAACAATATGCTGGCTAAAATGGTCTGCTCTGTTGAAATCTTTTTTTTTTTTTTTAATGGTACAATTTAAAATACGTGTAAATTTTCAATGTGGGCAACATTTCTAAAAAGTATGTGGTCCACCTTTAGATGTTCTTCAGTGAAAAGGATGTTATCAGGTAAGGGTATTCAATCGAAATGTATAATGTGTTTTTTATAAAACCAGAATTGAGAACAGAAAGGAACACTGAAATGCATAAATAAATGTGGATTAATAAAAATATGCATAAGTTTTTGAGATGAAACAGCACATTTCAAAGAAGTGTGTGAGGTTTCCATTACCACTTTGGGTACTGACCTCACATTCTTCAGGGTATGCACTATATTCACTTATCTCAGCAGTTAAAAGTACTTAGTAGAAACATTTGAGAAACCCTGCCTTGAACAATCACATTAAAATGATAAACACATACACTATCATCCTATTTACATTAAAAACTCCTTCAGGATAGAACCATGGCTACTATTCTGCATACTGCCAATATGCTTATTAAAGCATGTTATTCACAGTAGGAATTCAATAAATGATATTTTAAACTGATCACTGGAAGAAAGGCTGATTAGATGGAAAACAAAATGAAATAATTTAAAATGTAGAATCAAAGGATTCTTACAGGCTTGCCCCCCAAATAGCTTAGATATTCTAGCAGAAACCTGAATAGAAGAAAAGTATGTTGACCTCTTATCACTTGATATTTAATAGGCTGCATTTAATTCTGGAGTCAGATTGGACAAATAGTTTTTTGAGAGGTTAACAAGTCTAATTGAAGGAACTAGCTCTTAAATAAATGATTTGCCTTAAGAGGGAGAAAAAACCAGAAAACTAAAATAGATTGAAACATGTACATTTTTAACCATTTCATCATATCCAACCTTCAGCAACTCGCTGGAGTTTATTCTTTGGCTATGACATATACCAACAGGTATAAAATAACCACAGATATTTTATAACAGTCTACTTTTTTTTTTTTTTTTTTAAAGAGAGATTTTTGCTATAGGGCATGTATGCTCGCTAAAGAGACAGGGAGAAACAGAGAAACAGAAAGCAAGAAATCATCTCCCATAGGGATGGCCACACTGCAATTCCACCTCTTCCATTTTCCTTTTGAGATTTTGGGTACTCACGTACACATGTCTAGCATGTTTTAAACCACCAAGTTCAGGATTGTGGTTCCACAGTTGACTATGTAGAAGTCCAGAGATCTAACCATTACATCATCTGCTGGTTCCTATAACAATTTATTTAACTGATGGAAATGAGTAGTTTCTCATAAACAGACAACAAAAACAAAAACAAGCTTATAAAAGAACTAACCTAGGGGTTCATTGACCAAAACCAAACATTTTAAGATGCCAGGGAGTAGTAGTTCCACCTCACAAGTGTCTACATTAGCTTCCTTGCAGAGCTGGAGGATGAAGGCCAGAACAGATGCTAAGCGAGGAGGGGGTGATAACCCTTTATACTCAAAGTATGATTTCCTGCAAAGAAAAAAATTCTTATTTTTCTTCTGATTAAAGCTTCAATAGAGCAGAACCAAATGTCATATACTTTAAAACTACCGGCCAAATTCACCATCCAAATGAACCAATTGTTATTTTTTTAAAAAAAGAATTATTTTCTTAACTTTACTTAATATTTTTGAATTTGACTAGAAAGAGACAGTGAGGGGGTGGGGAGTGAGAAACCAAGTTGCTAGGTGTGGGACTCAAAACAAGGTCGGCCATATGGAAGTCCAGCACCTCAACCACGAAGCTATCTGCTGGCCCAAATGTGTGTGTGTGTGTGTTTAATGTATGCATATTTAACCATGCTGCATCTCTTCAAATGTTAAGATTTTAGAAGCAATGACTGCACATTCATTTGGTGTGTTCTAAGGGCCAAAGCAAAATACAAACACAATACAAGAAGGGTCAAAACATAATACAAAGGCAAATTAAATGTAAAGCAACTTGGTTTTAAAATGAACCAAAATCTAAATGAAAATTTGTTATTTTTTTTCTCCATTCTAGTCTAAGTCTGATCTCTTCTATCAGCTCCTCAATATTGCAACATTTTCTTCCTAATGTCAAATTTATATAGAGAAATCTCTCCTCACATTTATTTACTTAGGAATTTGGGAAGGTCTTATTTTTCCAAGTAAATAAGAGGACTGTCCTAGGATTTAGCTTTCTACTCCAGTGTTACCTCGTTCCTTCCTAAAGTAAGTAAGAGAATCAGGTAAGTAATTTAGAATTTAATGTTAACTCTCAAGGCAAGACACATTTTAGCATTAGAACTCAGTAGAGATTGTAAGAATAATAATTTATCTGACTCATCTTTGTGGCCCCAGCTTTTAGAACAGGTCTTGGTTCATAATTGATGTTCGATACACATTTGTTAAGTGAATTAATGAAAAGTAAATTGTTCAGTTTCTTCAAAAGTCTAGAAAATATCGGGAACCAGCAGTTAGAGTAATGGCCATGTCACTGGACTCCCACGTAGTCGACCGTGGCTTAGAACTCACACCGGGCCCGTGTGTGTGCGTGCCCAAGATCCCGAGAGGAGAATGGAGGAGAAGGGAATGCGGCATGACCATACTCCCTGGGGGGTGATTTCTCGCTTTCTGTCTCTCTCTGTCCGGCGAGCGCACGTGCCCTATAGCGAAAAAAACCTCTCAAAAAAAGTCTAGAAAATATGAAAACTTGTCAAGTACAGCTAATCTAAACTATATGTCCATAAATATTTGCAAAGTAGTAATTATTTACCATAATGAGACACAGAAATCATTAATGATTAAAATCTCCTTAAGGGGAGGAAGTAATCATTTCTACTCTCTACAGTGACTTCCAGCAAATACTATTAGAAGATTCATACATTTTTTGAGGGCAGGGGTTTTGTCTGTTTTGTTCACTGTTGACTTGCTAATTCCTAGAACAAACACTTAATGGACACTTATGGTTTGTTGGGCCCAAGTAAGTTTAAGAACAAGAACATGAAGTTTGGTAACATATGGTCTCT